AAGAACTAGGGAAGATGAAGGTTGGAAAGGCGGTTGGTCCAGATGGGGTGCCAATCGAGGCATGGAAGGCGCTCGGAGAGTACGGGATAAGATGGCTCACCCGATTCCTGAACAACGGTAACTGCGGAAGGAAGGATGCCGGATGCCTGGAGAACAAGTACTATCGTCCCCATCTTCAAGCAGAAGGGTGACGCGATGGACTGCTCCAACTACCGCGGGATCAAGTTGACTGCGCATACCATGAAGTTGTACGAGCGACTGGTCGACTCGAAACTGCGGGAGCTGGTCCCGATCTCCCAGGAACAGTTCGGGTTCATGCCCGAAAGGTCTACAACGGATGCCATCTTCATCGCTAGGCAAGTGATGGAAAAGTATCGAGAAAAGCGCCGACCCTGCTACCTAGCCTTCCTCGACCTGGAGAAGGCGTTCGACCGGCTACCGCGAGCAGTACTATGGAGATCGCTCAGGGAACGAAACGTGCCAGAACACCTGATCTCTCTGGTGAAGGACATGTACGATGGGGCAAGGCAGCTATACGCACCCCACACGGCCTAACGAAGGAGGTGGACATCACGGTTGGGGTGCACCAAGGGTCAGCTCTGAGCCCGTTCCTCTTCCTCCTAACACTAGATGTCCATGGTGAAGGGCTCATGGAAGGACCACTGAAGACCATCCTCTACGCTGACGACATCGCCCTGATAGCGGATAGCAGAGAAGAACTACAGGCCAAGGTGCAGAAATGGCAGAAAGTCCTGGCAGAAGGTGGGCTCCGGCTGAATGTCAAGAAGACCAAGTTCCTGAGCTCTGAAGAGGGTGCAGAGCCGATCGTGGACGGCCATGGTGAGACCATCGAAAGAGTGGAGGACTTCCGATACCTTGGGAGCGATCTGGCAGCCGACGGAAGTGTGGATCAGGCAGTGAAGGCACGAATCAACGCGGCATGGATGAAATGGAGGGAGTCCACTGGAATCCTCTGCGATCGAAGGTGCTCCAGAACGCTCAAAGGAAGGTGTACCGGACAGTGGTAAGGCCTGCGATGCTATACGGCAGCGAGTGCTGGCCCCTGAACAAGAATCACGAAAGGCAGCTTCACTCCGCTGAGATGAGGATGCTGAGATGGGCCTGCGGCTGGACGCGACTGGACAGGGTCAGAAACGAGGATGTCAGAGCGGTCATGCAGACTGCCCCTGTCCAGCTGAAGGTACGGGAACAGCGTCTGCGATGGTATGGGCACGTGCTAAGGAGGCCACAGGACCACCCGATAAGGAAAGCAATGGACTTCGAAGCGCAAGGCAAGCGACCGCGAGGAGCCCCAAAGAAGAGGTGGAAGGACGTAATCAAGAAGGACCTAAGTGAAATCACGGCCACAGCAGAAGAAGGCCCTAGGACACGAGCGAAGAGGATCTCTGACACGTTTTCCTCTGAGGCTGGGGCGGGGGGGGGGGGTCGTATTGGCCCGCTGGGTGGAAGAGATCGAGCCATTTTGATGCAGTGGGATCATCACCGTCGGAAGACAAATATCAAGGATGAGTCGATGCCAGGCCAGAGGATTTCCAATGAAAATGATATTTCACCCACACAAAATTTTCGTGATTCTGAGGCGTCCGGTAATTCTTAGTTACTTCAGTGTTTTATCACCACAAAATAAGAATCTGAATTTCGCACGCTTTCCAAGAGATATTTCATCTTTCAAGTAAGACCCCGAATCTGAAGGGATGTGAGGTACACGGCGCATCCGAGAAAGGGTCTAGTTGTTGCGCGCGCTTCAACTACGGCTCCTTGGACAAACAACCTCAATTCAGGAACAATCGAGAGAATTCTGAAAGTGTCCGTGCGCATTTACAGGGAGGTGTACACCATTCAACATTGCGTTAACGGACTCTTCAGGGTTAAATTTATAAACATGTAACCTTTAAAGTTGAGAAACGCTAATCAATCACTTTTCTTAGAAAGAGAAAAGCATGATTTCCAAATCTGCTCTTACTTTAGTACATAATCGCCCTTAAAAGGATATACAGCCGTTGAAATAGTGCCAATGTAGCGAAAAAGTACCTTTCGGCGGTACTCGTGCAAAATCCTCAACGTAGCCGTTTTTTTAATACTGGACGTTTGGAGCAGTTCTAGTAAGCATTTGATAGAGCAAATCTTCTAGTTTATGATGGCGTATTTACTTTTCGGATTGGATGAGTTTGAACGGAGTTATGGCTTTAGGAAGTAAAAAAACTCGCACTCATCACAAATTTTCCTCGTTAATTTTTGCAAAAATCCTCAACGTGGCCATTTTTTGAATACTGGACGTATAGAGCTGCTTTAGCAACGGTTTGGTAGAGAAAATCTTCTAGTTTTAAGCCAATATTAACTTTTCAAATTATGACGAAAAGGGAAGCAAGTTACGGCCTTCGGAAAAGTGTAAAAACTCGTGCTCATCATGAATTTTCCTCGTTAATTGATCTAAATTTGTTATTTCTTATAAATTTTTGTAATTTCAATACTGATTAGAAAAGAGCTTTTCACAAAACTTCCAAATCTGCTTTCAGATTGAAAATTCGTCATATTTGAAGAAAGTTATAATCATTTGAATATTTGTTCAAATTTCAATAGTAAATAAGCTGCTCCACGGTCAACGCCAAAGTCCAGTCAACACTCAGCTGGCGAAGGCGGTTAAAAAGCTTCTTTCAACTGAAGGGCTACGTGCAAATTGAGAACCACAATCTGTGTAGTACTAGAATTTGGTAAGTCTTGTGGAGGAAATAAATAAAGAACAGATGTTGTCATAGTATGCCATTTTTAGTGGCTAGTTTGTCGTTTTCTGGTCTGTTTCTCGTTTGCTCGTTTGGTAGGACTCATCAATAATGATTATTCTTTGACTTTTTCACTTTTGTACTTCTTAAACGAATTTTTTTGTGGACGGTGGGGTAGCAGGGCTTTTTTATGAGCAGTTTTGGGGGAGAATTAAACAACAACCTTTTCATAGTTCGGCTTTTGAAGAGGGTTGTTTCATGGACTTCGGCCTCCGGCGGAGGGTGGTGGGGGGGGGGTCGTATTTCCAAATTTTCCTCGACGCCTCGCTTGACCCTGCAGGAGATGCCCTAGACAGAGCGAAGTGGCGACGACTGATAAAGACAGCGGACCCTGCGACTGCGCGGGACTAACGCTAGGGAGAAGAAGAAGAATGATGATGATGAGGCAACCAGCTTTACATCCATCCAGTAATTGGTGCCATACATGTCTGGGAGAATAACGAACACTAACTTGTGCATTTGCTGGTTCCCACATGTTCAAAAAAGGATTGATCAACGACAAATGCTTCATCCTTTTCCTTATCTCTTGATTAATTTCGAAAAAAAGCCATTAAATATTATAAATTAATGCGGAGGTTTTTTTAAGTAATTTATGACATGATTGATCCATTTGCATCTGTTTTGTAGTTTTGTACTGGCTTTGCCAGAATCTACTCATTCTATTGTAACACCATATTTTGTTCTTACGCTGAATGTTTCCTCTTTAGGTAACATACTTGTGATCCACGTTAATTGTGGCTCCCGCATTTTGCGTCTACGACTGAAAAATTGAATAAACTCCAGGTTTGATTCTTCAACTTCCGAGTGGTCGAGTGACATTGCTTCAATGTCCATATGTAGACAAACATTAGGCGCGGCTGCGCTTGACGGCCTTCTTTATGCAGTAGGTGGATACAGTAGTCCGGAGTGTCTGGACACTGTTGAACGGTAAGCAGTCTGACTATTTGACGCTCATACCCAAAACTTTACACAATTTCAGCTACGATCCTTGGCGAAATCAGTGGATCCGTGTGGCAAGTTTGGGAACACGTCGTGATGATGTTTCCATTTCCACACTAAACGGCTGTTTATACGCCATCGGAGGGTACGATGGAAATGCAACTTTGAATACTGTGGAGAGGTGAAGCCATACGAACTTTTTTCCTTTCCTTTCCATTTTTTGATAGACGTACACTATCACTTTGCAACACGATCAAGCATCCCAACGGTTCATAAACAGAGTTGCGTTACTATGAATATTTTCGTTTAGACAGGACTTCCTGGATATCAGCCCAAATTATGACCAGTATTCATGGAGGGGAATTTTCTTCGTCCTGTGAAACAGAAGGTGATTCGATATATAAAGATGGAGTTTAAAGGCACGCTCCGCGATTAGGCGCGCTCGCCTGTTCCATCCGGGGGTAGTAGGCAGGCGGACAAGTGTTGATGTCGCGCCCCTTTTGCCGCTTGAAAGTGCGCGACAAAGGCGCAAGGAGCTCGTCCGACCCGCAACTCACACCTTCGTCCGCAAGCCCCACCCTCCGCTGTCGGTTGCCACGTGGCGCTGCTTGAAAAGCGCGGGCGCATTTGAGGCAGCGGTCCCATGCGACCCAATGTTATTGGCACTGGAGCAACTAGAGTTAGGTTCGTGAAACTCGTCCAACGCGCCCCTTCTCTATCCCAAGGTGGAATGCGGCTGAAATAGGGGAGGTCTCTGTACGGGGCGTAATCGGTGGTTTCGTTTGCTTTCCTTCTCTTTTACAGACCACCTCCACCTCTAGCTTCATAACTGAACGCTTTTCCACACCTATTTATCTCAAACAGTTGGTCCCGCACGCGTTGCGCGCACAGCACAGTTCTGCGGCGATATGGGTTGGTGCGGCGTAATTCTCGAATTTGGCCACAATACACTTCGAATATTTTACTTTCAAGCTGAATTCTATATAATTGTACCATGTCCGCTTTTCCCGTTCTCGGACTGCGAGTGGACCGATTTATAAATCTCGTGGTAAACTCCGCCTATTTCTTTGCATGTCCCACCTATCTTTTTCTTCCTCGCCAACCTCTTCCCACTTTTTACCCGATCTCTGAACTGTCTCTGAGCCGATTTATATTTGGCGGCAAAACCTTTTTTTGTATTCCTCCGCACACCATTAGAAATTCACTTCCTTTCCTTTTTCCCGATTTCCAGGACTACTTGGAGCCGAGTTACAAAGTTTTCGTGGATAACTCCGCCCACTTTGGACATGCCCCGCCCACCAATAGCAGTTGGCTCCACTCCTCCACCCACCTCCACCCCCTTTTCCCGGCCTCCGGGACTTCTTGGAGCCGAGTTATGAATTTTCGTCGCAAACTCCGCCCACTTTGGTCAAGCCCCGCCCACCGATGACAGCTGGCCTCCACTCCTCCACCCACCTCCATCCACCTTTTTCCCGCCTCCGGGACTTCTTGGAGCCCGAG